ATTTTTCATAAATTGATATAAAACAATGGATTGAAATGTTTATGATGTTTATGATAATTCAAAATGGAAAAATAGGGATCATAGCTTTACAGTGGCGTTCAAAGATGCGACTGACCTTACGGCACTGATAGCATTTTTTTGTGTCCAAAATCTATACTCTTCAACACACTGCAAATACACAACACAAGCCTGGCACAGTGTCTTTTACTTTGACCCTCTCAATATGTCTTGCTTTTCTACTAAGCTATCACCTTTTTTGTTTTTGTTTGTTTGTTTGTTTTCCTTTTTTGTCGTTTCCCCCATTTTAGGCCTCCGTAGCTTAGCTGGGGGGCGTAGAGAGTACGGTAGGTCTGGTAGGGAACCGCTTTATTCTATCTTTTTTCTATGTTTTTCATACATTTTGTCTGTCATTAACATTTTCACTTGATAAAAATGAGATATCATAAGTTAAATATGCCATCATGTATAAGTATGTATAATACATTTCATTGTTTTCATCTGTTTCAAAATTGAATAGAGTTCAATTTTATATTAAGATTTTATATTTTATATTCTGGATCTTTTTCAAAAAAAGAAAAAAAGTTTGTCATATAACAAAAAATACCCACATGTTGGCCTAGTGTTAGCCACTGGCAATTTTAAACAATATCATACTTTTAAAATCTTTTCTGCACAACTGCCTCCTAATTTAACTGAGATGTGCATGAAGCCTTTTAACAAAGACCATAATTAATTTTTTTGTTCATTTCTTTTAATATTACAGTTCTGTTTAAATTCATTAGTTTTAGCAGTGATTCACCCTCTTGCTTTAACCATTGTATATATTTTTCTTTATGAAAACCGAGGGGAGTAAAATCAGCACACACTGTGTTTAAGGCAGGTTCTGACCAGCATAACAGCTTTCTTCTACAAACCACCACAAATCAATGCTTAATATACCTTTGTTAATGTGTAGTAAAGTCCCTTGTTTTTAGCAGTTGCTTTAGGATTAGTTTTAAGGGAAAGATAGACACTATGTTCATTTTAAATGGGGTGGTGTAAATGGTATTTTATAGCATTCTACCGTCTCACATCATGGTAGAAGATTTGGGTATTTTGGACACTGATATGTTTATTTTTAAATATACCAAAAAGTGGATTTTTTTTCAAGCAGGCTACAGATGTTAAACTTGTAATCGGGGGCTCTCAGTAGATAAATTAACTTATGAGTAATCTTAAACTCTCTGTTCATAATGAGATGACTAGATATACTGTAGCAAACCTAGAACATGTTAGCCCACTAACAGTCATATCCTATAGTTACTTTTCAGTTTCTGTGAAACATAAATATTTTGATAAACCACAAGCCTGTAATACAAAGCAGGATTTGGACTTAACCAGGTAGCTTCTGAGTTAACCCTGGGTTTTTGCTATTATAAAGTTAGGGGTATATCCCCATGGTAACTAATTCTGCAGACCTAAGATGCTCTGGAGCAGGTTCTGTTTAAGATTACAGATTAAAAGCTATGAAGTCACCACTAACCAATAACCAAGGAACTTAATTCCTTGCTTTTTCCGGTTTGGGTCAAATAATTTTCTTTTTTTTAAAAAACTTTTGTTCTATAAGCATTAATATGCAATCCAATAACAGGGTGCATTTTTGGACTCATAGATTTATTATAACCTATAACCTATTTATTATAGCCTATGCTTGAATTGCATAATATCAAGCCTTTACTCCTATAGTTGAACCTCATCAGGGCTGCAGCTGAAAAAATGCATATCTGCAGACTTTCCTTATTGGGTTCAGATAGATAACCTATATTGATATAGCCAATTAGACTCTCATACTGGTCATTTGTCTGCAATAACTTTGTTACTTTAGATCTATTTGTATATTTAACCTCTTCATATTTTTCCAATAATAGTGTTATCTTCTTTTGAAAAGTCTGTTGCTCCACTGCCAGTTTACCTAGCCATGTTTATCACTGGTCATATATACAATTGTAACTAGACTGATAAACCCTGGGTCAACTTATTGACCTTTGTACTGATGTTAGGGTAAGTGAAGCCAGCTAACATACCCTGGGTATGTTTATCTTGCTTCGTAGTACAGCGTCCAGGATAGGCCTACTTACGTTTTAGATGGAGTGCTATTGAATTCCCAACATTAGTCCAGCATGTTATCTTTGCACACTCAAAATATACTAACCTAATCTCAGGAAACCCTTTTCCAATTTTTCTCATGTTGGTCTTTGTTTTTGACAACATCTTTGAGCTTACAGTGTACAAGTAACTTTACTTTGGTTTTAAAAGCCAAGGGGGGGTAGGGGGTTATTACACTGAAAAAAGTGCTGAGATGCTAGTTTAGGCCATTGATTTGTATTGGTTTGTTCTGAAATACTCATACATACAAGGTTAATCCACCTTGCATCCATGGGGGCATCACCACTGTATGTATATATGTATGTGGCAATGAACAACATGTTTGTTTTATTGTAAAAGAAAGGGCTACACAAATTTAAATTTAAACATTTTGATTTTGTAAACCCAATAGAATCATCTGCAATTGACCTCTACACACCCTCAGGTATAACTAGTTGTCCTACGTCAAATCATCCATTCAGTCATCCATTTACCAATCAATCCACTCCATCTTTTCAAAACACCAGTGCCATATTCAGGTTTAAACACAGGACAGAGTATAGGGCCTGAATAGGAACAAGGAAAAGAAAATTCTCTATTTCTTTTTTTCCTTGTTCCTTTTGCCAGACACAGTTATTTATTTTGGCTCAGTCAAAGTGCATACACAAAAGAACTGGCATGTAACTTTAGGGGGAAAAAAGTTCTATATTACATGTTATATGTATGCTGTTATGTAAAACAGAAAGTACTTTTTGCTAGTTTTCCATATAAAGTATGCGCTTGTCTCTAATTTCTTAAGAAATCTTTTTGATTGAAACAAAATTACTCAGATAACAGAAACACCAAAGTTCCATTTTTATCATTATCCTTGTCAAACTGAAGTAAAACTAGACATTAACTCTCTCTATAGCTAGAGTTAAATAAAACACAGCAACACGGAAGATTTCACCTTCATTTTGTTACATCCGCAGCCCCCATGCTCATGTACACAGCTCGTCAGTCATTGCATATCATTAACCCACAACCCTGATCTGAGTAAGAACAGCATCTTACCAGCCTCTTTGCCAGTCTGAGTCCACAACTATGGCAAGAACAGCCTCTGGCACAAATGGCGGGAGTCGGACGGAGCGGAGACACTGTCAGAACTTTTCCCAACGGTTTTTCTGAAATTTAAGTGTTGAACACAAAGAAGCAAAAGGTTTGAGAGGTCTGGCTGAAAAGCACGAGAGTGGAGGTCTGTTATATTTTTTGCACCAAAATTATTGTTATGGAATAGTATTGGGTTGCACTTTACATAAAGTCCATGCAAGTACAAAAGGTTTCTCTTTTATTTTCCCTAATTGTGCCGATATAATTAATTGGGAATCTGAACCACATATGCAAAATATGCTAATTTCAAATGTTTTAATTTAATTGTAATTGTAAAGTAGTGATAAGTGTTTTTTATGTGTGCCCATGTACTTGCACTTCATGTAAAGTGTGACTAAAACTCATGAGATCAAATACAAACAGAAACGCATTTGGTCATAGGGTGATCGTAACCATTTCGTGTGAAATTTTAAAAATGCCAAAAGTGAAACTTCAAAGAGATCCATATGCTGAAATACAACATGCAATGCTTTTTACTACATCAGTCAAAGGCAGTCTTCACATTAAGAATGAGAATAGGAGACTGCTTTACTTTTTAGTCTAAACATGTTCTTTGTCTGGCTGTCTCAGCACATCTCATCTTACTTCCTTATTATCTAAACATCATTTTGATAGTGTAAGTAAATAGTCTGGATTGGCTAATTCAGCAGTCTGATTTCAATTTGCTGACCTTACAGAAAGAACTACTTCAATATCAAATAATATGAAAACCATTAACTGAAATAATCCAAAAATATTTGACTGCATCCTGGATTTTTTAATATGGCTTGCTTATTCATATTTATGGTGATGATTTATGCTCTGTGTGTCTTCTAAGTATGTGTAATATGAAAAGGTAGCGATTTAGATAATGCATGTTACAGTGAATGTTTTTATGCATTAATGACTTGCCTACTGACTTACTTAAGTTAACGCAGACCTGATAAGTACTGACAGATCACGAGATCCTAAGAAATGGTTAGGATATTCGGGCAACACTGATGGGCAAAATTCCTAATAGCCTGGATATTTATTTATTATTGAAGGTTTTTCAGCCTAATTTTACTAAAATAAATCTAGCTTAATGGCTTTTTGTTTACCCTCGTCAGATCATCGTTTGCCATTCCTTTTTCATTTTAAAATGTACAAAGATGTTTTTATAAAATATTGGCAGATGGAACAGAACAAAGTCTATCCTAATATACTCTCACTCTTCTCTGACAATAAAAGCCTTGTTATCAGACACAAGGTTTTGACTCCTCAAAGGAATACTGCCTATGAGCATTGCCCATTAAACTGTGTTTAAGTTGTGCCAGTGTCATCAGAACGTCTGCATTTTGAGACAGAAACACAGTCAGTGTCTTAGAGTTGAGCAAATATGAGCATTTAAATGTATTTTCTTTATAATGTGAAGCATTAAGTTCATCACAGCAGGACTGTTAATGTAAATTACTCATAAGAAATGATTGCAAAACAAATGCATTTAGATCTATTGGGAAAAACAAAAGCACTGATGTAAACTGAGCATGCCTGTGTTTCTTTCTCTTATCACCTGTAAATGATTGAATTAAGGATTGCATAAACTAAGACAAAATATCCTGTAAACAATTTTCAATAATTCTTAGTCTGTTATGGTAGGTATATATATATATATATATATATATATGGCGAGATGATTTACTGTTGAGCATTACTGTGTTCCTACCCTGCATCTTTTCTGCCTAACCAGTGTTGCTTGTTCCTTACAGGGATTCAGTTTCGTCTCCCTACTTCCTGCAGCGTGGATCGTGCTCAGCCACCTCCAGGTACCAGTCCGTCTCCATACTCTTCTTTCCCTCCATACTAGCACTTACTTTTGCAGACATGCATTTCAGTCGCAGCCATAAATCCATGGGCAAAGCAAAGGGGTGATGTCATTTTTGCTAAAAAAAAAAAAAAAAAAAAAAACGAAAATCAGGTGAGGACCAGGTATCTGAGAAACACAGCAGTACATCATCAAAAGGGTTGAGCAGTGTGAGACACGGTCAACTGTCAACATCCACAGGAGGTTTAAAATATGAAGGAAAAAAAAAAGTGGAGTGTTGGCAAAACAGCTGCTTCACTCTCACAGATGCTAATCTGAAAGTGCTGTTGAGCCTGCATCTGCTAAACTTGCCTGTTTTATCAGACCAGACATGGCTAGAGCAGCCATACCCTCTTAATCACGGCAAGGGCGCCTCCAGAATTTTTTCATAGGGGTGGCCATATGGGGGCAACTAAAAATATTGGGGTAGCACCGGACGCAGCAGTAGGGGTGACAACGGGAAATCGTCAAGAACATAATGACAAAAATTGTATATGTAGGAATAAAGCACAAGTTCATGTTGAAACTCTTTGTAGGGTGTCTTCCTCTCTTGTGTTCAAATTTATTAAAATCATTACCAACACAGGACAGTCTTGCCGCGGGGGGCACTGGGAGGGAGGCAGCAAATTTTGGGGGTGGCCAGTTTATTTTTAATGTTAAAGTGACACATTAGAGCCATGAAACTTTAAACTGGCTGCGCTTCATTTGTGATGTTAGTAAGGTACAGCTTGGACAAACAATTTCCCAGCGCAGAATCAATATGGCACAAAAAAGGGCTCAAAATATAATATAATTTTTTTTTAAATGATTAGAACGTGGTAGCCTAAGATGATTTTAAATCAAAACCCTGAACATAACCTGCTCCGACCAGGTTGTGTGTTCAGCTTGAATTTACCACACACTGATTTAGCCAGGTAAAAATAGAGATACTTTCAGGACACAGGAAAATCTGATTCTCCAACCCATTAATCTCACTTTGTTGTATTGCACTCTGGTCTGCAACCCTGTAAATGTCATGATAGTAGCAGAGGTTTCAGAGGTTAGGGATTGATTCACTTTTCAGACCTACATTTCATGAGTGCTAACAATGAAAAATAACCCCAGTCAGCCTTGAAGTAAATGAATAAATAATCAGTCCCTATCCATGATTTTTAACATTCAAAAAACTGTTGGCATGGACCATGATCGAAAACAAATATTTTTATTATATTGTATTAAATAACCTAACAAACGCATTCCTAATTTTGTATTAAAAGTATACCTAAATGTAATATTTTGTTCAGGCCTGAATTTGTTACTTATTTAAATTGTTAATTATCAATAATCAGGTGTGTAGTATTGTATAGGTTATGCTTATGATCACTACTTTGAATCTAGAATTCAAATATGTCGGTCCTTTCTGATTCATTTGCAACTTATTTAATTAATTGCACGTCAAAGCTGTTATAAATTAATTTCCCGACTGACCAATCAATTAATTAGGAGAACAGTTTTTGTAACACTGCACCTCAAGCAATCTGAGGAGCTACGTCATGCACACTGTTAATTCTCCAGTGCAGATGAAGAATTTAGAAAAGGCAATAGAAACTAACTATAGAGGTTGTGGTGATGATATATAGGCTACAGTGGTTTGTTTGTGGTTAAATGCAGAGACAAATCTTTGCTGCTGATGTGTCAAAATTCCTGTTCTGAATAGAAAAGCTACCTGGGTCCTCACTGTTTATTTGTAATACTACGAATGTTGTACATTTAAGCAGAGGAGCAACACAATTTTATGCCATGGCACTCAGGTTTATTTAGTCTTGGCTGCACCTACAGCATGTGGGTTTATTTGCTGAAGTGCCCAGTGCAGCAGTGCTGAGCCAAACAATCAAATTCAAACACAGCCAGGCACAACTGACTAAACAAAAGACATGATACTTCCCTGGTCTATATTAGCCAAAATTTTTAACAAAAGCTGAGTATTTAGAAGAGAAACCCACTGTCACTGCCTCTAGGTAGGGGATTTATTGTGTTCAAGGACTCCTACTGGTTCTCAGTATTACTGTGTGGGACAGAGGATAAGATTAAGTTGAGAAAAACTAAAACTCTGACTTCCTTTAGTACAGGAAAAAAAAATGTGACAAGACTTGTGAATGCAGAGCCACACTGATTATTGAGGCTTCTCTGTCAGCGCCAGCCTCAGATTTCCACCCTCCTCTTCCTTAGAGCTCGAGGTTGTTCCTTCCAGCCTGTTGATGAGTCACACCAAATTTATAACTGTTCTGGAAAAGTCACAGCATAATTTTACAGTTTCCTCCATGGTTCCAACCCAAACTGCTGTGTTACAGTGAACAAGTGAATTAAACAAAGAACTTTGGTATATGTTACTGAAGGAGTTGAGATTGTTCTAACTCTGTTGAATAGTATGCTTGTGTAAGAAAAGATAAGACTTCTGCAGAGGTGTTTTATATTCAGCGCAGTCACATTTTGTCATAGTACACAGTGACTCCCCACTTTAACCAGAGATTAGATCCAGAAACTCTACTGCAGTTACCTAACTTGTCAAATCACCACACTATTATAAATGTCTTTTGTTGTGGCAGTGTCTGCACAAGGAGGGTTCCTGTTGTTACAGATTAAGAGCAGGAAGAAGTATCTAGACCCAGCATTAAGCTAAATGGCATTTGTGTTATATAAAATCGACTAACTGCGAAACAAAAAGGATCGGTAGGTTTATGCTTTTGTGTGCTTGTGATTGGAAGGACTTTGATTAACCTCTTCAGGATCTGTAATTCCTTGATTGATGTGACGAAACTGTCAACAACAACATAAAACACAGATGTATTCACTGCAAGGGGATGAGTATGAAGGATGAGCCTGGTGTCAAAGTATATGTCTAAAAAGTAGAATTTGCTATATTTTGTTTAAGAAGTCGCATATCCTGCAGGGTGATATGGTCCTTGGGAGTTTACCCAAAATGCACTTTTTGTAGTTTTCACAGTGAAATTATAAGAAAACAGATAAAACATCCAGAATGACAATGTTTTTTACTGTTACTCCATGTCACAGACATGAAATTGGTGTGTTTCTAGTGTTGAAATGAAAAACTGCATAATAATAATGGTCAAATCTGATTAAAGAAAATATTGCCGTGAACAAAAATATTTTGCCTTTAGATGGATGTCAAATCGACTTGATTGCAGTTCATGTAGACACTAACTGCAAACTGTAAATTAATGTAGGCATACCACAAAATGCTACCTTAATGTAGTACTTTAAGGTAGCATTTTATAGTATTCAGGTAAAAATTTTCAGGGCTTCATTAAATATACTAAATTAATTGCTTGTTATCAGCTCATTCTAAGGGGGCCAGGTGGGCGGGACTGTTTGACAGTTAATAGAGTGACTTCACTTGTAAATGTATTCTTATTCTGAATTCAAATTGTCAGTTCAGTTCAGTACATACAGTCCTGTGAAATTAGAGATTTTGCAGGGTCTATGAAGTCTTATGAAAAACTACATCCACCCTTACTCTGTCCGTAGTAATTAAGAGGGTAAGTAGCAGTCAGGTGCTGCTATTTGAATGCATTTGATTATTGATCATCAGCAGGTGTGACCAGCTGTAAATTTTGGCAGTTTGCTGGTGTAAAGCATTGTGCTGTGTGTTAAAGCAAAGCCACAATCTGGGAATGGTCATCCCAGTAAATTCACCCAAAGGTCAAACTGGGTAGAGCTCAGAAAAACACAATGCTACATCTCGAGTTGGAGATGAAAACCCTGTCTCTCTAAAAAGAACATGGCAGCCTGGATCTGGACAATCCACAGGACTTCTGGGGCAATGTTCTTTGGACAGATGTTTGGTCATAATATGCCACATTTGGCAAAAACAGCATATAAGCACACAAACCTCATACCAACTGTCAAGTATGGTGGTGGAGTAGTAATAATTTAGGCTTGTTTTGCCTTGGCACCTTGCAGTCACTGAGTTGACCATAAACTCCTCAATCTGTATGTAAGTATCCTCAAGGCAAATATGTGGCCATCTGTTTGACAGCTAAAGCTGGCTGAAAATTACTCGTACTACAGGACAATTACTCCAAGCACCTCAGCAAATTCTAATGGTTTAAAAGGAAAACAATCAAGGTGTTGCAATGACCAGGTCAAAATTCAGACCTCAACCTGATAGAAATGCTGAGCATAAAGAGAGCTGAGTATAATCAAATCCACACAAACCTCAATGAATTGAAGCAACATTGTTAAGAAAAGTGGGCCGAAAGTCCTCCACAACATTGTGAGAGACTGATGAAATCATACAGAAAATTATTATTTCAAGTAATTGATGTTGAAGATGACTGTAAAAGGTATTGAATCGTGGGATGTACTTTGTTTTTCACAGAACTGCTAGATTCCTGTGAAAACCTTTTTTTCACATGACTGCAGGTGAAAAAAAATAAGCACTTGTCAATGGGTTTTACAGGGCTATAGCGTTATGCTTCACAGGTGAATGCCTCTCACAGATATTCCAACTAAAAAACAACTCTTATAATGATATCACTAAAATAAGGAAATTCATAAAAAATACATACAGTACATGTCAGAGACACACGTAAAATTTCATTCATAAAATTTCCAGACTAACAGATGGAAAACATGGAAAGTACAGTACAGTCTACATTGGGGACATCTGGTGTCCAGTAGGTGTTACAGCAATATGTTGTGATTCCCCCTCCCCACACTGAAGTAGGACAATACTCTCAGAAGCCTATTAAGTGGTGACAGTGTAAGTAGAGTCAGCAAATTAAATGTCTTCACTAAACAACGTTAACCTAAGCAAATTATTCAATAATTTTGTCCGGTGCATAACTGTAAATGTGAGGGCAACAAATCTGTTTCCAAATGTCAGTTCATTCAGACAATCATGATATACATGAATGAACTGCAGCACAGCTGTGTAGTGCTGACTCAACTTACAGGCTAATTTCTTTTTCATTACACTGTTGCAGGTGTGCAGTCATTACGTCTGCAGGAAATTATATGATTGCTCAGTTATTTGGTTATTCAATAACAACACAGTGGTCATCCCTACTCTTACAAGAATGTTGGAGACTCAGTGAAGACCACCATTAGGCAACATTAACAGCTTTGATACCTTTAAATGTACTTTTGCATTTAGAGACTGTAACACAAACAAAAATGCAGATTTATTCTAACTTCCTCAATGCATTAGCATTTTTGTCTTTAGTAGGTCTGTAATAGGGTTGGGGAAATGAACATTATTTAATATATACAGTAGTATTGCTTGCTTTTGGGCTAGGTTATTGATGCAAATATTTTCTGTTATAGACAGGCAGACTCTCTCTTACAAGACTGTATGCTTTCTTTTTAATGTCAATTATTCCAAAATGAATACAGTTAAACTGAAATTAAGTTGCAATACAGCTGAAGAAACAGAAGGAAACATGGTGTGAGGAACAAACCAGAGAGCTAATTGTGTTGTGAGTTAGCCGCTGATTCTTCACCCTAGTCTGTACACAACAGCTGTAACAAATAAAAGAAGGCAGTTATGGTAGCTGACCTCAACTAGCAATGTAGTTAATCAATTTAATTTGAACTCCAAAAGGAGTGACTAAACCATACTTCGCTAAAAATGTAGAAAATAACAACTTTCACCAAACGCCAATAGGTTATAGGATCTTTGCTGCACATCCGCCTTTACTTGACAGGTTTTAGCTTAACCAAAAGCAGATGCAGTGGATTTATATGACGAAATAAATGTCAGACACTTACATGATTTTTGCAGTTTATAATTCCAGCACAACATCCAACATTTTCCCTTTTTCCCTCGTCTCCATAATTTTCCTTGTTCCTTTCACTGCTCATATCAAGGCTGCTAGCTTGTTTACTGGCTCTTAGCTGTGGCTAGCTTTAGCTTTACCCACTTTGCCTTTGTTAGCCTCTTTAAACTTCCATGTTTACTGGGGGTTTGCTGTTATGAATCTTTTCATGGTGGATCCCTCCACCAGGAGCTGATAATGAAGAGGTGATGACGAGGTGATTGTTACATTATTTGTTTATGCATTACTTATTTATTCATCCTTTTGATTGCATTTAAATGCAATGTTACATTTTTACATTATACAATCAAACTCATCTCAAGATTCAGTCTTAAGTCAGTTTGTTTCATTGGAAATGTGTACTTTGCAGTATAGAAGAAAGAAAGTATACTTTATTGATCCCCTTGAGGAAATTCCTCTCTGCATTTAACCCATTCACTCAGTCCCACTGCTTCACTCAGTGAAGCAGTGGGCAGCCATTGGGCGCCCGGGGAGCAGTGTGTAGGGACAGTACCTAGCTCAGGGGTAACGCAGGGTAGCCGTTCAGTGGATTTGAACCACCATATGAGTGGCCCATTTTTGCTAAATAGTTGGCCCAGTTGACTTAAACACTGCTCACATGAAAAAATGTGGAAGAGCTGATGTTTCAAACAGTGTCCCAAGTGATTTACCAAAAAGTTACCTGTAGTAGCCCCTTATATATAAATATATACATTTAGGATTGATCTACAAGAAATAAAATGGGATTTGCTTCACATATCTTTGAAAATATCGTGAGGAAATTAGAATTAAACATTTGACTTGGTATAGCTGGTAATAATAGATATTATAGATGACATTAGTGAAGACTGTTGATCTATTTAAGTTCATAGTCTTACTATTAAAGGCTACTGTGTAAACGATCTGTACTTTATATTTATTTAACTTCCTTCTAATGTAGTGTTATGTTCAGTTGTTGGATTAAAAAGAAATCTTCAAAAATAAACAGCCAATGAGCATCTTTAATATTTTATTTAAAAATCTAATTAACGAACTGACTTGAAAATGATACATTGGCGAGATAATTGTGCCAGTAAACAAATACAGACAGTAGAGTAGAGACATTCAGACATTTGTATCATTCAGCTTGTTTCTGGTACCGAGCAATCTGTGACATTTTCAGCTTCTTTCAGTAAGTCAAACAAATCCAGGATGCAAAAATAGAAAGCTTTGAGTTGCATGCTGTCTGAGTCACTGTGCTCTTTATATTTTGGTACTCACCTGCTGTGTCTTACAGAACTCCAGTTGGAAGGAAGTCAAATCTGTGACTAGGTTTGGTTGAACAGGTTTCAGTGTGGCTTTTTATTACATATTGCATGTAATTACCTGCAATCAAAAGTTGATTGTGTGTTTTTGCTATGTTAGAAACAGTCTGCACCTTTCTATGTCAGTGTAGAGTCAACATCTGAAGCTTGCTGTGAAATTCCTGCAGTATGCTACTGAAGACTAGCATATTTTTCTATGTGTGTCTGAATGGGAGATGTTCAAAGTGCATCAAAAGCGCTGCAGAGGTGAATGAGTGATGTTTCAAATGGGGCACAATGGCTTTTTCTCGATATAGCTTATAATTATTCAAGCTGTGATTTTCTTAGTCTTAATCTAGTCGGTGGTTCATTTAGGGCTTTGTTTGGTGGTAAAAATACCAGTTTCAAGTGCCCATTAAACTCAAGCTTAATTTATGGAGCAACCTTTGGATTTAGGCTTTAATTAACTAGGGTTTTACAGATCGATGCCATTATAAAATTAAGGAACATTATTACTCTCTGGTATGTATATAGCAATATATAATTAAAGAAAGATTTCACTAATAGATCCAGTCAGGCTAAAGTAGGTAGCTGTAGGGAGTTTCATAGCATTTCTACTTGAATTGTATTACTAAAACAAAAACCAGAGCATCCGATTAATAAAATGTAAAATGTATATATGCAAACAAATCAATAGTATCTACATTTACCATGGAGATCATCCTTGAAAGAGGATATTATATATATTTAACTAAATTGAACTATGCTTTTTCTGCCAAGACTATTTTCCTACAAATTGAATGGCATCAAAATTTCTATGCTGAACAACTAAATGTTAGGTGTTTTAATATGCATTTGCAAAGCAAGTGAAATTGGTATGTTTCCAATTCTGCAGTGAGGTCCATCTGGATGGATTACCATCAAATTCTCATTTGCACTTGAAAGACCAAAAATCTTCCCATAATCCTTCATTGCACTTCCCAATAAACACAGATATATTACAAAGCTGCTGATGCTTTCTACCTTAATGACATTTCCCTCCCTTTAAGTGCCCTAATGCCTAATCTCTCATCAAGCTATGAAGCTTCTCTATCACACACTCGTCAGCTTTGGCCACATTTATCATTCTCATGTTATTTTTTGTTTTTATCCTCTACCCTTGTCTTGCCTTGTCCTCGTCCTCTCATCTTGCTTGTGCTATCCAGCGGTATCATATCCTCCCAGTTACAAGAAGACTCCACCTCCTGTGCCCCCGCGCACCACCACCAAGCCTCTTATCTCTGTAACAGCCCAGAGCAGTACAGAGTCCACCCAAGATGCCTACCATGAGGGCAGGCATCCACGGGGTGGTCTGTGGACCACAGACAGTCTCGGCCGTCCCATCTACAGCTCCATGGACAGCCTGGACAGCACCAAGGCGGTTACCATGGCCATGGAGTCAGCAGCAAGCAAGAGGCATGCGTCGTTAGGCAGCCACACCTCGGTCCAGACATGCGACAAAGCAGTGCTGGTGTCCAAGGCTGAGGAGTACCTCAAAACCCCACGTTCCTCTATTGGGATACAGGTAACAACATAACCGCGGGCCACTCACTGCCTCTTTCGCCTCTATTGCTAAACCCCACCTCCCTCCACTCCCTTGATTACACCAAGTGCCAGGAAGGTCCCATTTGTCTTCTTTTGTTCTGTCCTGGCTGAAAGGCAACTTCTCATTTTGATAAACAGATTGCCAATGTGAATCAGACATTCAGTATAATCTCCACTCTTTGCTCTTAATCGTATAAACTTGGGTCATGATTCAGAGAATGAAAATTACGATGGCATTTTGGCTTCTATGATTTTTGTCAAAATGTATAAATAAGTGATCTTTTTTAATACATCTCTGGGCACACAGACATTAAAATGCTGAACTGACAAACTACAAGTGTCCGCACTAGTTCAATGTGTCATTTTTCTTTCATTGTGACTAATACCCAAATGTACCACTGTGCATGGCTATTGAGTCTTGTTGACCTTTACATATGTCAAGACTACCGAGGGCTTATTAAAAGAACCCAGCAGCAAGGATAAATTGGTGATTTATGTTTTTCACCTCTTGAACACACCTTCACTACCAGCTGAGGTAGCTCCCATCATGTTACTGCTTAAACAAGGAGGTCTGCTGTGAGATAAAGAAGCTCTCTGTTTTATGTACTGTCTGGCTTAGCTAGCCCTGAAGGCAAGAAGGACTGTATTTATTTTTGACCTCTGGGTATTTCCACATATTTTCTATGAAAATGTGTCTCTAATGTAAACTAGATGATTTTCTATCGCATAGTTTGTTGCTCAAGAAGTGCCAAACTCCTGGATAAAATTGAACTTTTTCAGGGACCTGTGCGAATTTCTAGGGGTAACCATTCTTGGAAAGCACCAAATTTTATCACATAGATCATATACTGTAATTATAAACAGGTCATATATATCTCTATGGTGCTTTTTGTATCAAAAATTAGGCACATTTGAGCTCTAAGTTCTACTTATGGCACTTTTATGGCATTTATGACTCAATTACAGTTCTGGCAAATGTTGTGTGGGTCAAATACAGCAAGAAAGTCATGGCGTGGCAGGTGTTTTGTAGGCCAGAGATATACCAAATCCCACAGCACACCTGACATTTGTGTAAAATGACTCCTAAGTCAGGCTTACACTGAGTCAGTGCCATCAAGCACAGTGTGGTAAATAGAAAACTGCAGATCTGAATCAGCCAATCTATCAATGATAATGTAAATTGATAATGTAAAGCTACTCTTACACGTAAGTTGTTGGTTTTTTATACTTGGCAGTATGTAACAAACATCTCAATGTCAAACTTCTTTTAGGTGCTAAAAATGTGCATCTGTACTTTGGCGTGTCTGTAAATTTCAGTGTTCTCTTGTTGCATTTATCAGGTGGAAACTGTGACAGACTCTGAGACTGACACTAAAGGCCTTCCTCAGTTCCATTCTATAGGGATCCAGGTGGAGGATAAAAAACGGTATGTAGCAGAGATGAAGGAAAGTGTCACAGTGCATTTCTTTTTTATCTCAGTTAGAGTCTTTACATTTCATTGTGTTCCTGGTAGGCATGGGAGGTTCAAGCGCTCCAACAGTGTGACCACTGCAGTGCAAGCAGACATGGAGTTGGAGGGATTTCCCTCCATGGAGGATAAAGGTTTGCAGTTCGGTGGTGCCTTCGGCCGCCACTCTGAGCCCAGCACGCCAACACAGTATGGAGCGATCCGTACGGTGCGCACACAGGGCCTTTTCAGTTACAGGGAGGACTACCGGCCTTCCAGTGGGCCACCCAGCCCGCAGCCTGAACCCTGGCTGGTTGAACCCAGCCTGGAGAGCACCGACACAGGCCGAGTAACCCCCCTCCGCAGGGACGGCAGCTGGTTTATGCAGCTCCTTCACAACGAGACCAAGCGGTTGGAGGCATGGTGCAAAGAGATGGAGGCAGAGGCAGAGGAGCATGACCTGTCAGAGGAGAGTGAGTGTACTGATGGAAAGGACACTTTTGTCAAATCCAGTGCTTTTGTTGCGGGATTTCAATGCTTTCATGACATTTACTCTTTGAATGTTCTTTTTGCAGACTTTATAGCAGTATAGCCAAGCCGAACATTCTCAGTAATAGCTGTCATTGAAAATGAGAATACTGAATCGTGACAGGCATTTTGTGAGCAGATTGGATTCTTGTGAATGACCGAAAGATATTGCTCACCATGTTGGCTTTTGCCAAGCTGTCTGTAATAAAGCACTCTCTCTTTCTCCCTCTCTCTGTGCTTGTGTACGTGTCCAGTCCTAGGAAAAATCCGAAGTGCAGTTGGAAGTGCTCAGTTATTAATGTCTCAAAAGTTTCAGCAGTTTTACTGGCTATGCCAGCAGAATCTGGTGAGTACTGCATGTCTTTCAGACAAAATCCCCGTTTCAACATGCTGTACAAAAACACGCAAAAGGTCAGGGGTAAACTTGTTGATTGGCTCCTTTTTCTCAGCGCTTTGAGAAGGCGCTTGGCCTGACGCTGCACTTGTGTGCTTTCCAGAAATAGACCACAGAGATCGATAGCGAAGCAGTCTCTCTGCAGCTATTGACCCCGCAGTAAACGAAAGGGGAATTCCAATAGGAAGCAGCACCTGTGTTGAGGCTATCCATTAATGCACAGAGACAGCAGTCTGAATGGGAACTCAGAGTTTTAGTAATGGACTGCCACGCTGTCTCACTGTTTAGCCATCATGTCACGTCTGCTGGAAACTCATACCTTTTCTAATGCAGACTTTACAGAGTCAGCATATACCAAAAGATTGCAGAATCATAAGTGGGGATGTTTCTGCAGATACACAAAGAGGCAGCCTGAAACTTAATCACCTCTTTATAAAACGTAGATAATTAAAACAAAAATGTAAATGAAATGCAAAACCTTGTGGAGGTGGCTGAAATCACCTCTCTCACTGCCTTCTGCTGGGGGTTTTCTTTTGTCTCTTAACTCACTGTGTTGCTCTTCTTTAGATGATTTTGGGCCACTCTCTCTCCCTCTCTCCCCTCAGATAATAGGATGATGAATTAAGTCTAACATTGGTAGTGACAAGCTTTAGATTGCCCTGAGCTTTCAGACGTGTCTGAATGAGAGAGTGGATCTGTTTCACCTGCTGGATGGAGGAAGAACTGCATTTTGTATCTATAAAAAGCTCTGAATTTGCTTTTGAAGTTTGGCTTGACAGACCTTTTCTTGATGCCAGCGCACACTCATTCTCTGTGTGGTGTCTGAAGCAATGAGGCTCTATCTGCTTAATTTTGTGAGCTGTGATTTGCAAGCAACATCCAGATGGGTATATATGTAGAAATACAGCAGCAGTGTGTACCAGTTTTCTCTTTAACATGAAATGTAATCATCTTAGATAATAATTACATTACGGTACTCTCCGAACACAGAAACAAAATCTTTCTGGAAAAACACTCAGGCAGGCAAAATCAATGCTGTGACAAAAAGAAAAACATTACAATTTTGTAACAGTGTATCTCTTTACTTCCGTGTCTTCAGCTTTCTGCACATATGCGACTTGTTTATCACAGTAATCGCTTAAGCAAATAATGGAGAAAAAACAATTCTCAGAAACTGCCAGCTGAGGTCATGAGCCAATGTTGGTGCTATACTGCCACACAGTGGTCAAAGTGGTGAGGTTCAAGTGTAGCTTTGAGTCCCAGAAACAAGGTGGACTTTTGAACATTGGATTTGATGCACATCTTTATAAGCCCCTCTGTCTCTTTAGGACCCCAGTGCCATGCCCAGACCCACATCTCAGGACCTGGCTGGATTCTGGGACCTTTTGCAACTTTCCATCGATGACGTCACTGCCAAGTTTGATGAGCTGCAGCAGATCAAGAGCAACCAGTGGCAGCTGGTGGAGAGCCCAGATAAGAAGGTTAAACCATTTGCTCTTTTCCTATGCTTCCACACACTTATAATAACAAGTGTTAATGGGCTCCAGATGAACTCACTCAGCTTTAGAGGAAACTACAGCAACAGCATTTCTGTTCCATTTTTAGACCCTGGACCAGCAGGAGGTTACAAAGCATAACAAAGGAGGCAGCACAAGTTAGATTAGAAAGCTAGTGGCATCCTCTGAAAGTGACTTACATTTTCATATTATCACTGAGTATCTGGTTCACGGTGTTAAAGTGAAATTGAATGGCTCTTAAGCTTTTAGTAATTTCATCCAAGTTGCTTGTGAAAAATTTAACAGCTCCTAATGTTAATGGGGAAAAACACTCGGTGTGAGTTTTCTTAATGTCAGACTAAATCACAGGCAGTAAGATCATGCAGTTTTCACACAGCATTTAAACACACAAATTACTTTGACTTTTTATCACAACATCTGCACCGGATAGTTACTGACTTTTTCACGAACACGATAGATCAAAACCACTTTTATTTTGAAAGCTCTAACACCGTCGGACAAGCATAAAGCAAAAGTTTTCCTCCGATAGGCGCACAAAGCACAGGAGCAAATATGCAAAACAAAATCCAAGGCGTGAATAATGATCGTGGTGACATAAAAGGCATTTTAGTCATTAAACCATCCAGTTAAAGCACCATAAGTGAAAGCACACTTACACGAGTGGCGCTCATAGACGAAAGAGACGCATTTGGAAGCACATTTAAATGGTAATGTGTTTTTAGTGATCGACAGCATCCTTCAGGGCACTTGGATAATTATCTTCATGCTTGCAAGGAGTTGTTTACCTCCAGCAGTTAATCTCTGTGACGCCGAACCCTAGCGGCGACACAGATGCTCTGCCTTTTCACCTTTGAGGCAGGCTCCATTTAAACCAACACCGGCGTCCCAAACAGCCGCAAAAAGTTCACCCTGCAATCAGACTGTGTATCAGTGCGATTAAATGTTCACAGGTGAAGATTTTCGATGACACAATCAGTATGGGTTTCCAGATTTTGTGTATTTGTGCAGCTTATGGACCGCAAGAGGCAGATTTTTGCATTTTTAAGCATCCAGCAGCAGTGAGTAATTAATGAGTAATTCTGCTGATGAATTTTCATTTTGTAGCCAATGCTGTTGGTGTAAACGACTTCTCTTCTCGAGTTAGACAACACGCTGTGATACCGGACTCTTTCCAATTTAAATTTGCTCAGATACCAAGAGTCTATATATTAAAGCCAAATTTAGCCCGAAATCAAGTCTTCATAGTGAACAAAGGTGCTTTAAGCATTTAATTAATTGGCCCCATATTAATCAACATTTATCATCTCTGCCCAATTTCATTCTACATTTATCCACTGTGGCAGTCTTTTATCTGCTAGTTAATATTGCCTTTTCCTCATAACTCTCAATTACAAGTTCTGGCTCTGAGCTCAATAAGAAACCCCTTTGTGTTTTTCCATAATGCAATCACGTACAACAAGCAAACTAAATAAAAAGTATACATTTTCATGTAAACAGACTTTTTTTTTCTGTTTTCTTTGCACAGTTTACTTCCACGTCCCAGCAGAGAATACCATAATAAATATCACTTACTGGGCTGTTATCTTTTTTAGTACATATCTAGAAGCCTACTGTGAACCAACTTATTATGTCATTCTGTGTCTTAAGGAGCGGAAGTGGCCACCCCCTCTGCCAAAAAGGTCAGCCAAGGGGCGTGGCGGTGTGATGCGGGAACGCTCTCTGGACCTTCAGGACCGCCAGCGACAGGAAGCCCGCAGACGCCTCATGGCTGCCAAAAGAGCAGCTTCTTTCAGACAGAACTCGGCCACAGAGAGGGCAGACAGCATCGAGATCTACATCCCTGAAGCCCAGACGCGGCTTTGAGGTCCACGGATTCATCCTCAGCTCCCCTCGTGCACCTCCACCCGACACCAGCACGTGGCGCCACATTCAGCCCCCTTGTGCTGTCAACTATTGTCGCTGCTCATCCATGTTTCCATCTGTTGTAATACCCTGGGTTGTCTCTACTGAATCTACACTAAGCAAATATTTCACCTGTAGAAACCAAAAGTGTCTCCAGAACAGTAAAAACTGGACAACAGATCATTTTCCTCTTGTTTTTATGGTCATTTGTTTGGCTAATGATGATCTTGGGCCAGCTGAATTGGTGATGATAGTATGGTGTTTATGCACGGATGTGGATATTTAAAATAAGAACAACAACAGCAAAAAAATAAATAAAAATCAGTTACATTTCTGCCACTTGGAGCGGCTAAAACAGAAATTTGCTTAGTGTAGTTTTAAGACCACAGGGGATTTTTTTTCGCCCCCACGAGTTCTGCACCATGACGATTAGTTTATAAAGCCTAAAACGAACATTCATCCTTACTACACCACATCACTGTTTTGTTTTTTATTTTCCACACCAGCATTTTCTTATACCTCTTTTCCACTTATACAGTGCCAGTGCCAGTTCTGCCTCGGTGCCTTTTGAGAACCAGCCCACATTTTGACAGGTCTGAAAAAACGGCCACTACATCATAGAAGAAAAAAGCCTTTGTGGACAGATACGCATATGCATATGCCAATTATTGGTGGATTTAATGCAGTAGCCCCCTCCCATAGCCACCGATGGTTCCAGCTTTGGGACAGGCAATTTTACGGCACCTCTGCTTCTTTGGAAATGGACGGAACCAGCTGAAGATTAGGCACCTGGACTGGGCGGGTGGAAAAGGGGTACTAGACTTTTCCATCGTTCCCATTCTTGCACTGTGTTGAGGGTGATGTTATACAGCACTTGTCACATTTAAAAGAAAACGCAAAAGTGCAACTTTTTTCTCACCAGCAACAGTGGTCTTGGGCTAAAGCAACCTGTGCAGGGGTGGTTTCCCATAATGATGTCACTTAGCGCGATTGACGAGCCTCTGAAAATCTGTAACTGCTGAAAGAAATGCAGGGGAAGTCGTTTCTTCAACGCCTCCCATCAAATTTGAAGTCGGAATAGATGGAGAGTAACAAAAGTTTTGATAGGGTTTTTGGGACCCTTCATATCGATCCAACAACAATTTTCCATGTTTAATCAGGCATGCTGCAGCTGCTGCCCAGTGTTGCTGACTGAGATCTAAAAATATGACTAAAACTCCATCATTTCCACATCCATTCATGTTCATCAAGACTAGACAATTCTACGACATGTAGGTTATTTGCTGCTGGATGCATTTCCATTGCAGAAAAAAATATGAATTATTAACAAAACAGAGTTTTACATGGCCCGAAAGAGGTGACTGTATCAAAAAAAAAAATGCATTTTGCACCTTATAATATACATGTTTGTATTTCCAAGGGAAATGTAGTTTATGAAGCTCATGCGATATTGTTGCAGTTGAATTGCAAGGACAGATATGGAAAATTTACTACAGAATTTCATACAGTATTACTCTATAGGTCATAGAAATTGCACCTTTTTGTCATATTGTTTCTTTTTTTTCTTCTTAATGGCATTACTGCCATCGCATAAGGAAATATTGTAATTCTAACACTTTTACTTCTACTTGCAGTATCTATCATATGACCAACGTCACAATCTACAGTAAACATTTAGTATTTCTAGTTAAACCTGTTGTTGGTTGATTTGACAATGTATCTGTCCTAATGACTAAAATGTGTTCTTTAGCTAACAAACCATTTCTCACAACTCACTGCATCTGACCTTTTTACCAAGTGGCGCATAACGAAAGCCCTTCTGTTCTTATTTTGATCTGCTCACGTAGTCTAGGAAAGACAGGTGCAAATGACACTTTAACAATATTCAGTTACTATAGTAAATGGTGCTGCTTTTTACTCTAAAACTGTTGTCCTTTACCCAGTCCTATGTGCACGCACACACACACACACTCAAGGACTTTTTAAACAGAGATTTATTAATATGGTGCCCACCGTCTCTCCGATGACTTGTGGTAGATTGTGACTTTAGAAACGATCATCTTTGCAATGCTCTTGCCCTCAGTGATGTAAATGTGGAGAAGGTACGATGGCTTAACTTCCTTTCGAAAATGCAAAGAGGTCAGGGATATCTGTTTATCGCATGGGAGAGATTACAGGCTTTGACATTCCACCAACCTCAAGCTGAAATCTAATACTGTATGCCCGCCTTGAGCCAAGGGCATGCTGCTATAGCTGAAAGAAAATAATAATACGCGTCCATATTTTATACTCCCTGACACCTGCGATGCAAGCCCATTCATCCTCATTTGCCAATCTTAACCCCAACTAATGAATACGAATGTTGTTATGGCCACAGGAATGGCACTCAGTAGGGGAGAGCAGTCTGTGTACCATCAGTACTTCTGGGAGGCAGTGAAACATGCTTGTTGTGAGGGATCGCGGGTGTACATCAGTGCTAGAAGACCCTACCTTACCAGATGGCCTTAACCAAAACAGTCGTGAATGTACAGCCTCCGATGATGCAAAAAAAAAAAAAATAAATATAATAGTAAGATGAAATTCCAACTAAATTGGACAGGGCTGAAGTCACTCTCAAACCTTTTACTTTTTTATTGTATATTTGCTCATCTCAAATCGTTTTTTTCTACTTAATGTGACTGATTTAAAGACGAAACAGGGTGTGATAAAATAACAGGAGACACAGAGAGAATTACATCCTCCTACGCTTTTATCAAATTTGCGATATCACAAATGTAGTTCACAGTTATTCCAGAAGTGTGAAGTATTGCTGAAAGAAAAGCGCACACTTATCTGTGAAAACCGAAATCGTAGTAGAGCCACTTCACACATGAATGAATATTATAAATTAAGTAAAATAGGATTTAATGAAAGCAGGATGTTTAAAGTAGGCACATTTATATAGACAGTAACTGTTTCACATTTAAACTGAGTAATAAAGGTAATCTGCAATCCAGCTCCTTGTTATCCAGATTTGAGTTCATTGATTTAGTTGTTCTAAATACATATATGTCCCTGCAGGCTGTGTGTCCCACTGCAGAACAAAGAAGAAGGTACAGTAATTTCATCCAAAAGACGACAAGGACTTGGCTTTAATTTCCGAGGAATCAATACAATTTACAGCCAATAATAACACACGGCTTTTAGTGTATTGCAAGAGGGAGGATCCAGTACGTCCTGACTGGTCAGATTTATTTTCCCCTTTTCAAAGAGGAAATCATTTTTTCATTCATATCCATTTATTTGGGGCTTTTCTTTTTTAATTTATACAGTTCTGTAGTGTTTTTTTGGGGGGGGGTTGTTTGTTTTTGTTTTTTAGAGCAGTTGGTTGGTGAAAAGGTGTGGTCTGCCTTTAATTTATTGATGCTATACAGGCTGCAGTTTTCATCCAGCCCATATTATCACACAGAAACCTTTTCTTTGGCCTCCTTGCTTGGGTTGCATTTGAACATTTTGGCCATTTTTCACATAATATTACAATTTACTACTTTATAATCATTCAAACAATTTACCATCTTAGCGTTCATTGCCGTATGCATATAATACATGGTTAAGCGCTTCAATGAACACATATATTCTCAATTATTACCCCCAAATCTAAGAACTGTGGTGATTTTGTTCATCACTCTTCATTTATTTCATCTTGGGGGGCTGTCTCCATTTCCATCCTTTAATATTACATCCTTAATATCATTTCCCTAGCATCTTCACTCAGTTTTGGTCTGTAGGTTTGGTCTGTTGGTTTAGAAATATGAAAGTCCTCATTTATTTCACTGGTTCCTCCCTAAGTTGCGCCCTTGGAATGATTGGCGACCGTTTCTCTGAATTATGACAACCGTCGATGGGCTATTTTAACAATCCAGCTGCTCTTCCACCTGACTGAAAGTCATGCAAATCAAGTCTACTTCCCACAGACTGAATACTGTGATACCATCTTATGTAGAACTTGATGATATTTAAAGAACTACCTATTGTAAAGAAGCTTTTTTTTTTTTTTTTGTCCTTTTGTAGCTTTGAGTTACTGTTGCTTGCAGGCTTTTCAACCAGTAAGCTTGAGTAAAATCTACAAAAGGACTTTGACGCTTTCTGAACTCGCCACCTTAAAAGAATGGCTTAAAAAAGATAAACAGGATTCAGAGTAACGGCCACACGGCATGAATGGGAGGGATGTTTTTGCACCAACTGCATGTCAGGAAGGCTAACGTCAGAAACAAAGATGTCCTCAAGAGTTGCAGGGATGCTAATATAATATATTGTAAGTGACAATAAAGGCACACATGGTCAAAAATTTAGCTAAAGTGTGTGCTATTGTGGAATAACGCAGGGCTATTGTGTAAACATGGTACCATTTACCCTTCATTTGCATAGCATTTCCAATGAAACGCATAATATTTGTCTTTCACGTCTCCCAGTTTTTCCCATCATGCTATGAGGGGCTTAGAAGTCTGGCAACTATGTATATGACAAATCCTCAGGTGCCTTAAAGTTTGATTCACATAGGACTGAGTGAATGTTTTTGGGTTGAAGTATGGAAAAAAGACTGCAACCTGCAAAGGACTGCACCACTAAGAGTGCAAGTTTGCCTGAAATACCTTTACAAGGGCTGGATACCGGGCTGGGTCGGGCTGCAGAATTTCAAATGGATTTACATTTATATTTGACTGATTTAGAGGTCCTATTGTAATAAACTTCAGCACAATACAGTCTAGAGGGTATCAAAGGAGGATTTGCTATTTTGTTTTCCACGTTTTCTTTGACAAAGATTCATAGTGACTCGTTTTTATGACATGAGATGAAAAACACACACAAATTGCAGAGAACCAGTGGATATGACAGTGTAAATGCTACACGTCAGAGTGTATGTCACATCCATTTCTGCTAATCATAAAAGATGACTTATTTAATAAGGTCTTTCTTTTAATTCCTCCTAGCTGTGATATTGTAATCTTGGGATGTTTCTGCCATTCTTGGCATTTACGTCCACAGAATCGGGAGACTGACAAAACTTGACCAGCCAAAAAAAAAAGGGCAATAGTGTTTTCATACAATGACAGGCAGGCTCACCTACAGCTATTTACCTCATGGTTTAGTGTTTTAGCAAACATGGTTTTAGTAGGAGTAGTTGTGATCTCCACAGGAACACTTTGTCACGCCTGTGTACTATGCAGCAGTAGTTCTGTGGGGCGGCAGAGCTTGCAGGCCCTGGTGCAGATCATCTTTCCTTCACAGAGAGCCGAAAGCACCGCGTTCATTGAGCTGTGCACCGCAGGAGCTAAAACACCACGCTGTCATTGCCATCCAGATCCTTTACAGCTCACTCCTCATGACTCTTTTATGCTGATTTCAAAATAATATAGTGTAAACAGAAAGTCGGCTAACTTTCAGCAAAACGCTCTAAAAAAGATTCACGTGAACGTGACGAGTCAGAGTTACTTTGCCGGGGTCACTTTTCCCTGTTTAGTCGCTATTCAAGATAGCTGTTATGCTTTACAGCATCCATATTTTAGCCTGACATCATATAACAGCTGTCCTGAAGTTAAACCTCAGAGAAGTCTGTATAGGTGCTGAATCAACCAACGCTTCTCCTTGTACTTTTATTTTTCCTGAATTTGCTTTTTTATTTACTTTTTTTTTTGGTTGTTGTTTTATTCTGACAATCAGCAAACACCAAAAGCATCAAAATGCACACACGCATACACACTACAACAGCAGTGTCATTGTATATCCTCAAGATAGCGCCCTGAGTTGCCCTTCTTCATATCTTGGGGATCTTTAAAGTCTCTTTGGACTCCATTTAAAATATTGTTCAATTTTTTTTCTCCTTGTTTCCGATACAGTTGCACTGCAAAGATGTCTTTCTATTGCTTGCTCTCTCTTCTCGTAAAACCACGTGACTTTCGATGACATCAGAGCGTCGCCCTGTTGTCGCAAGCCAAACAACCGTCGAGTCACTGTTGAGCACGTTTCACGTCATGCTCCCACGTGTGAGAGTGTGTCTGCTCTTCAAGCAATAAGCCTTATTTAAATATTAGGGATGACTTTTCATTATCTTCTTTCGATTTTTTGACACATCTGTGGGAAGTCGTAGGGGTTTCGGTTCAGCAGCAACCAGCCTGACACTGAGGAAATACACTTTAATGTAGAAAAGTTGACCTTAGTTGACTTTCATTCGTGTCTCCTTTGAAGATGCGAGCAGTTGCTTAGCTTGACCACATAGACTCAAAACAGGGGAAAGAATCTGTGCATGTGAAAAAATAGACTAAAACATCAAACTACAAATATTTGCTATGTTGGTTTGGAATATGACAAGATGTCTTCAGGGGTGCTTGCATTAAGATTTTATGACCTTTGGAGAGACACGGATTGTCTGTTCCCCACAGTCTTTATGCTAAGATAAGCTATCTGCTACCTTCATGCTACCTATCTGCAACTGCAACCAAATAGCTAAAATTGAAAATCTCTTACCATCATCTGTAAATTCAAATTCACCTTATCCATTCAGAGATCACTCAGAACATTGATTTAAATCCAAAATTATATAGGTGCTCAACAACCTTGCATTTATATAAGAGCAGAATCAGAATGCAACCAGGGGAGTCGAGTTAGCTCAGTGGTGTAGACTGACCTTTGATCTCTGTATTTATAAATTTCACATCAATTGTTTGCAAACCCTCCCCAATCCATCTGACAATCAGTCTGAGTCAAATTGCAGCTGTTTGGAGACGGATTGCCTCCCGCCAGGCAATCACCTTGCGGTCAATTGTGATTGCCCGCAATCACCTTGCGGTCAATTGTGAGTAAGAGTGCAACTTCTTGTAGTCAATCTCCAAATACAAAAAAATAATCAATGCAATCAGTGAGAAAACTAGGAGGATGTCGTCCTGTTTTCCTCTATAGTGACTGAGCTGTTCTACAAACTTGAGAGTGGTACGGCGCTTTTCATCAAACTCTCTTAAACAGTCTAATAATGAATGTCTAAGGCAGCCTTAAAGGTTACGTATTTCCTCTTATGTCATTCAGGTTGTTTTTATTGCTCATTTCAGTGTAACCTCAGTGCCCATCTGTATTATGGGTATGAGTCATAATAAATCATCTGATCAGCTCTAAATAGACACTTTCAAATTTGTACATTGTCCTAATAGGGTTTTGTTTTGTTGAGTTTCTTTACATTTATGTTGTTTGTTTCTTTCTTTTTTTAGTGTCTCATGTTTTATGAGGAGAGAGAACAGTCACTTTTGTTTGCCTTTGGTGGAGAAATGTCTTGTATTGTGGCTGTGGGTAGAAAACATTTAAAAAAAAAAAAAAAAAGGCCTCTCATGGGTTTTTGGAAAGTGACATGAGAAAAATTTCATAGCATAAAAAGGTTTGTGGTTAGCTTAAAACTATTTTGAAATTGTTAGCTATATCAATAATGAGGATAAATATAATGCCAAATATTCAGTATTTGTACAGAAATATACATATATAAATATATAATATATGCCTAATTTAAATGGAACTATTTTCCACTCTTGACCATATTTTTGTTGTTTAATGTTTCTTTGTCAACATTATTTTATAAGCTCTTCAGATAGCATGCAGGATAGTGAAAATGAATGTATTATTTAGTGTTTCATTGCTGGTCAGTATTACAGCATTCTACAGATCAGTTTGTGTTTGTAGGATTAATTTAAGCTGAATATTTCATTTCTAGACTTTTGTTTATCTATAAATGACTTGTAAACTTTCTTTTATAAATGCAAGGTTTCGAAACAGTTTCAACAGTTTATATCATTTTATTATTTCCCTGCTTATCAATGTGGTTCAGTATACTTTGCCTCTTCTAAGTACTGCTATCAACCATCTGTTGTAAATAATTATGCAAATTAAACTTTTTGAAGAAAACGGCATAGTTGTAAGAGTGCTTTAAGATCTCTCTATATGTATCAGATGGAGAGGGTGCAGTTGTAGCACAGGTATGTGGCATTTTAGCTCAAAAATCCCGCATAGGGTTGTTTATGAAGCAATTCAATACAGTTTGCTGGCTAAATATCATGGAAATACGCATCATGCTCCCAACTTAGTCACACTTTTTTGGGGTATTGGAAGTTTTGAGCAGTAAAGCACCTGCCTGTTCCTGTGCTGCTCAAGCAGTTCCACCTTTAGCTTAAATAAAACTTTTTTATCTAAGAAGTATAATGAAAGAGAAGGAACAAAGCGCTAAATAATGTGGGTGGTGGATGTTATATACATAAAGAATGTTTTTATACTAAATCCTCCTATGGTGCTCCAAGTTGACTTAATTTTGACATATTTTGTCTTTTGTTCATCCAGTGAAAAGTGATTTAAGCTCAAGTCATGAGTAAGTGGCTAAAAAAATAAAGCAAAGTTTAACGTGCCAAAAACTGCAGTTCCTCTACTGGCCATTTGCTGCTGGCTCTAACAGCATGTCAATTCCTATAGACTCCACACTATTTCTTTTTAGTACATGACAATGCTACAATATTTTTTGTAGATATAAACTACAGCTTACTATCAAAATAAATGATATAAAATTAAAGTGATAAGACCATAAATGCCACAAGTGAGTAATTTTAGCCCACTGGTAAGTGGCTGCTATGGGCAACATGACAACATCATAATATCTTGTATAGCTATGAGGCTTCAGGAGCTCAATCAATGATTAGTGTGCCGTCTCTGCTGGGATACAGCATAAAATTTTAATCACTTGGAAAACAAACAAACAAAAGAACAAGAACTGCGTGCACAAACGAGTGGCAACTTGCTAAGAGACTTTGAACCAAATAATAGTGTGCCTATGTGCTGTGCGTTTGATCACGTAGCAAGAGTTTACGGACAGACAGACAACAGTTTTGTGTATTATGATAAGTTAACTCCTCCATTTGGATATTTGAGTCGGCCATGTTGACCAACCTCCCAACAAGAAACTGGACCTCTTGACATTATTGTGGAACAAATAATATGGCCTGCTTTGTGGTCCAAGACGTTTGTGCGTCAGTTTTGATGAGCAAAATTCAATTATTTTATTAATCTTTCATAATTCTATTAGTCTGTTTCTTAGAACTAATTAGCGGGTATGTGTATGTTCAATTGTCTGCATGCAATTTATGTATGAAGCCTTCTAACAAAGCCCACTAACCACTCTGGTAACCTCTGGCTGCAAAAACCCTGACAAGGTGGCAGCCAAAGTATGAATACTGAGGCTTCAAAAGGTGAAGTACAACAGGTGATGTCAGAGTAGCCAAGTTTCTGTTTTATATTCACGAAGAGTGAAGTCATCAAACAGGGCTAAACAAAATGGAAGGTGTGCAGGGGGACTATAAGCACTTAGGTACCTTAAAGGTAATAAATGAAATATCTACAGGTTGGTCTGAATGTATCAGAAGCTGATAATGGTTGAATAAATACAACAACTCTCCAAACACTTCACTTTTAATTAAAGAAGTGGTCTTTATTACAGCAAATAAGCCAAACATTACAGACAAGAATAATTATGAACCATGAATATCAACTCTATAGTCAGACTGGCCTCTCATCCAGACACCAGCTTCATTCACTACTCTTCAGGGCCATTATTTCAGATTTAAAGAGGAGGAGCCATTGGCCTCTTAAGAAGATTTGTTTCTTAGTTTTCCTTTAAGTGTGTAGTTAAGAGGCTTTACATATTGTGTTCACTTTCTGCTCTCACTAATTTAGGCATGTAGCAAAATCCATTGTCGCTAAACATAAAATATGACTGGATTACTATTACACCATGCTCTTCTCTCTCCCTTCTTTGGATCAGACCAAAAATCAGAAGTAACAAAACTGAAGGCTGATGTTCCACCAACAGAATAATGTTCTGTATTCAGTGAAATCTTATATCTATATCTTTATCTTTTTAAAACACCATCTGTCAATACTTGAATTTGAATCCTCCAAAACAAGAGTACAATCTGTATCTTTTTTCTGTATCTACACCAGAACAAATGTTCTGACATTGCATCCATTATCTAAACCTCTACTGTTCACCCAACAATAGAGCCTTTTAGAGCACTCTATTTACAACAACATCCTCATGAGTAGGGCTGCTCTTGCTCCATCAAAGTGGAACATCTGACATGTTATTTACAATAAAGTTCTTTTTTTCTGACTCGGTTTGTTCACAAACAGAAATACATCTGATATTCTGTAAGCTTGTAAAGCCTCACAAAGAAGTATTCTGATGAGTAAAAACACAATGAATCATGGTCCAAAAGGTATTCAGGACACTGTTCGTTCATGAGAACGCATTCAACAAAGCCCTGGGTGCGATCTAAGATGCTGTAAAAATGCTTGTAGCGACAAGAAAATTCAAATGATTAGGCACAATAAATTTTTTTGTATCACAGTCCTGCATGTTTCACTCACTAAGCCCGTTTATGCATCACTGAGTCAGTGTGTATCCCGGGATAATGGTGAGCAGGATACGAGGATGAAGATAAACAGCTTATCCCGACTAAGACGTTAAGAGGGATAGGCGCTATTATCCAAAATACTCTGTGCATATAAATGCACTGAATTTCTACTGACCACAGACAGCGCAATGGGCTCATACACAAATAAACCACAGTAACATCACAGAGATTCAAGAAGTGAAAACAAAGACAATACTATTGAATTCCACCTAAATACTGAAAAACTACTTCTAAAGCTTTAATATACAGCTTCAATCAGGGGTTCTTAAACTCTTCTTCATGGACCCAAATTGGGCAGATGTAATCTGTTACCTTGGGACCCATTACGGGCCTCGATAAATCACACTAATACTCTCAAGACTCCGGAGGAAACAGACTTGCAGCCCATTTTGCGCCCCCGTGTGCGGTTTAAGAAACGCTGGTGGGCGAACATGGAATGGAAAATGATTGTTCTTACAAGCAATGCAAGTAAACAAACAATAAATACAAACAATGTGCTTTATCCGTATAGACATATTTACACAAAGTCTTTGGCTTATGAAGAAACATCAGCTACAAAATAATAATATTACAACAAAGAGAAGAGTGTTGGCCACCAGTGCACAAAACAAATGAAGCCTGGGGTCAGGTCACTTCCAATTCTATTCAAGCCATACTGTCAATGGAAACTGTCAGTTAATCTTGCCATCAAAGAATGTGTGATTTCAGTCTTTTCTATGGGCAAAAAGGCCGATTTTTTTGCCATGTCCAAAATCTCTTTATAATTGCAGTTTGCTTGTTTGTTTTTCCATTTATGTACAGGCTGAATTGAAAGTGCATTGGGCCCAGCCCTGAAAAGAACATGATTCGGCTAATGTCACAGTCTAATGTACAATGCAGACTGCAAAAGTCTAACCAGTAGATAGGTACATGATACTACAAAAGAAAAGTGATACATAACACACGTTTTAAAACAAAAAGCATAACATAACGTTTGTCAAGTTGCAGCTAAATGAATATTATTAAAAAAAATCTAAAAGTCTAATAATCCCGATGTAAACTTCCTGTCTTTCCTTTGTTTCCTGGTCTTGATTTGCCTTTCACAGTCTTGTTTTTACTTTATTTAATAGGGACAAAATTATTAATTTTTTTTCTGTTTTCTAAAAATAATAAACTGTAAATAGGTTCATACTTGTTCATAATAATGTACTGACTCAATGTTCGCTAAAGTCATTTGAAAGGTGTGCGGAGCAGAAAAAGAACCATTCACAGAGTTTCTCCGGACGTTAACTTTCAGTTGTTCTCTTGCTCTCATACAAAAGTGTTGGCTGTATATACTACAAATATCATCATGATGAGACGCCCAATACAGTTAAATTAGTCAGAAATTAGCACGAGAGCAGGAATGTCGGGCCACTGAAAACTTTAACTTGCAGTTTATCAAAAGCTGCTTGCAAGGGAGCGAGCAAGCGAGAGAGAGAGACATCTACAGTAGATAGGAAGTACTGCAGCTGAAACAGCACAAAGCATCAAGTCCATGGGAGGTGGCTGTGGTGAGAGGCTAAATGTTTTAAATGGGGCCCGAAGCATACAGGGGCCCGCTGGCACTCAAAAAGCTGTACAATAAGCAGAAAGGAGTGAAAGGAGTAACATCTCCTCCTCCCCATCGCATTTCCTGTTAAAAGTCTAAGCATTTCCCTTTGTTTAACAACATGTACAAGGAGCCCGTTTCGCTTGCGCCTTTTGTAGAGACGCAAGATGGATGCTACACAACGGCCGCCACAAAGATCGAGACCAAGCAAAGCAAAGGATCAAACACACAAGATGTGAACAGATGTTCTCCGACTCTTCTTCTCCTCATTCTGCTCTTCTGTCCTTCACTTAGGACGACTCGATGAACTCCAATGCCAGGTCGTAGCAGAACCGATACTGTTCCTGCAAACAGACACACATACACACACATACACCCTTAACTAAACATATGCACTATCACACATTCACTGTTTGACTAAAGTTTGTATTATTATGTGTATAATAGTAAAAACAACATAATGCATTCATGAGCTCTTTCTCACTTTGCAGAAAGTGTTTATGGTTAACTCACCGGAGTATCCACCATGTTAGGTTTGCTATTCCTCAAGGTCTTTACAGCGTGGAAAACATCAACCACACTCTGTCTCTTTGCCATCTCGCACACGATACTGCTGGCACAGAACACTCCACTACGCCCACCTCCATTTCTACAAACAAACATAACAGAATACACGATGATACGTCGCAAAAAGCACAATTTAATATTTCATTTGGGGTTTTTCCAACTCTTGTTGGATGCTTTTAATTTCAATGGTAAAAGAAGAGAAAGCAACTGTGCTCTTTGATTTGTGTACACTCACAGGCAGTGCACAATGGTTCTTCCCTCTCCCTCCTCCCCTTCACGCTGCCACTGGTCAACCTGAAGGATCAG